TTTTCTGGTTCTTCAGAAGTTAATTGATGACTGTGTACAAGAGAACTCTGATATAGGAAATTCGAAAAGGTTTTTGAAATGTCACCCAACTATTTCCTGTTTGGTTTTATGTACATATAATAATATACTTTGTAAATTGAATTGGCCTTCTAAACTTGAAGTGGATTTGTGTCTATGAAAATGTGCTGTCGAGTCTGTTCATTGGGGACCCTTTCTTTGAGCGAAGTCGAAGTGGACTGTAGAACAATGAAGGTTTAAAAGTATTTAGCATATGACCATGTGTCCTGCAGTCCATGATGTTTGCTTTACTTGATTATTGGATATTAGTTCTTTACCTTTGTAAAATAACTTTCTTTTTCGTATTTGAGTGACTATCTACTTGAACGGCTTTTTGTTACTTCTAAATTCAGGATGAAAGGGAACTTAAAAGACAGAGAAGAAAGCAGTCAAACCGGGAATCTGCTCGCCGATCCAGATTGCGCAAGCAGGTAAGACAGTTATTTCACTGTTAATTCACTCTGTGCACTAGTTATCCTTGCAATCGTTAATGCTGTTTTTATTTCTTGTCATATTGGATTTAGGCAGAATGCGATGAGCTGGCCCAGCGTTCTGCAGTTTTAGAAGAAGAAAATGCTTCTCTTAGAGCAGAAGCGGCTCAAATAAGGAGCCAGTATGAGCTGCTTCGTACTCAGAATGCATCTCTGAAGGTATTACTATTATTAAATATTAGAATTTGTAATCTTTCCAGAAATCTTGGTGCAAAGCAGTATTAAAATTTAAGCTAGCTCATGATGCTAATATTTAAGCATATTTGCTATTTCTTTCGTCTTCGAAGATAATAATGCTGAAATAAGTATATTGCGGTGTACAGTCTTATGAAAATTTTCTTCTGGAAATGTGATTTTGCAGGAGAAACTCGGTGAAAGTTCCAGTCAGGATGATCCAAGGCACAGTTGGCATTCCGGACAAGCAGATAACCAGCAGAGTGGGGAATGAGTTTTTGAGAACGAGTGGCTTAACCTAACTCGTAGTGACAGGAAGTGGAACTCCCAAAATTAGGTGAGCCTGTGTAGTTGAAAATTCTATCAAAACTGACCATTTTAGTCTCAAAAATTGTTTATCAAATATCACCCATTATTCTCCGTTTGACCAATCTTTGATGGTCGAAGAATCCAGATATCGTCCAGACACT